TCTCCATTACTAACAATCCCTTCCCCCCACCCGCGTAGATAGCATTTTCGAATTCGAAAAGAAAACAGACGGGCTGTATGTTTATTTGCCACCTTTATGGTGTTTTGGAGTTACGAACAAATAATCAAATCTTTTCTTTTTATAATATTAACTTAGAGTATACATATTAAAGTATAGACTCGTTTATGCCCACGACTTTGTCTGTATGGAATTAAATTTTATGTCCCTTAAGACAGACGGTTACTTTCAGAATTTTCAGAAATTGAATACCCATTTACAATATTATCATAGATGTTTATATTTATAATATTAATTTTAAAATTAGTTTATTTAAATGAGGATCAGTTTAAAACAAGTTATTAAAAAATCTCTATGTCCTGTTTATATGAATAATATCTAATCATTTTATTTATCCGAAAATAATAAAAAAAATTATATGATTATGGATACCGTCCATTGTTACTCCATACAATCGCTAGCAAAATACTCGGTCAGGTCGACCTCCACGTGGCCCCCACTGGAAACGAACGTGATTATTTTTAAAGAATTCATTGTAATGGACTAACTGGTCTGCTTTCATCCTCATCCAACATCCCCTACTGCCAGGTTATATCTACCAATAGCATAGACTAGGTAATCATTCCATTATCATTCATTATAGTACCTATATAGCAGTAAAACGTAAGCAATAATATAAAAAACAATTTCTAATACGAAATACTGCACTGTGACGTCATACAGTTGACACATAGTTTAGCAAGGATTATTCGTTAGTGAAAGTGAAACCTGGGCAAGTGTTCAAATATAATGTATAATGATTCGTGTACTTAACAATACAAAAGGAGTCATGAAAGTTACTCCACTTCTTGACAGGCTCATAGTGATTTGACATTTGACATTCATTGCTGCTGTAGATATATTTTTTTTATTGTGCTATGTATTGGGTTTGAGTTCCAAAGCACTTGCGTTTGCGCTTTTGGTGTACGCTCGTGTATGCCAATGTTTGCAGCTGGTTGACTTATTATATGGATGATGGATTTGGGCTTCATCATTGAGTGGGTACTGAGAGCATGACTTTTAAGATAACCTTTCTGATGCGGATTGATGGGCGATGAGTTATCATTGTGAGTTTTGCGATTTATCCGCCAATCATTTAATCGCCACATATTTCTCACTAGAGGGAGACTTTGTACAAAAGTCGATTGTTTGGGTACCTCTGTCTCATTCGTATTTCAACCGTGAAGCAGTTGTGTTTGCATGGCTGTGTTTCGGTTTGAAGGGTGGGATATGGCGTGAATTTACTGGGTACAGAGAATAACATTTAAGTCCTAAGGAATGGCAACGCATGGGGGGTATCATGGGCGAAATGGTATACTCTGTTATATCCATGGTACTGCTTGTAAAAAAATGTACCACATGTAAAAAAAAAAAAAAAGATTTACAGGTTGAACAGTTGATGGAGTCGATAGAAAATTTTGGAGAAGGTTTGAGACCTTATGAAGAGGGTGAATATTGCTGTAGATATTACTTGTAATATTCATTAAGTGGCTAACTTTTTTTACTATATACAACAGAGGTGGCAAACAAGCATACAGCCCGTCTGATGGTTAACGGACACTGTAGCCTATAGACGCCTGTAACACTAGGGGTGTAACGTGCGCCTTGCCGACCCTAAAAAAATCTTAATATACCCTTTCCCATTTTTCTTAGTTTTACACGAACTCTTCATCTTTATATTTCTAGATATTTTTAAGCAACTTCAAAAAGAGACAATGTTGAAATTAGTTTGTTGCATTTTCTTTTTTGATTTTTCAATGTAAGAATGAGTATACTTTATTTACATTATACAATATAGGGAATAAGCAAGACAATTAATAAATGTAATGATACGGTTATATAAATACAGTAAGGCGGTCTTTTTGCTGACATCAGTCTTTTCAAGATAACCTTAGAATAACGGATTAATTGTTGTACAAGTAGGCATAATAATATTGTATAAATAAGTAAGTTTGAAATAAGAGCGTAAAACATTAAAGAAAATAATATTTTTTTATATCATTGAGATGGCAAACAGGCATACCGGACACCTGATGGTAAGCGGTTACCGTAGCCTATGAACGCCTGCAATACCAGGGGCATTACGCGCGCTTTGCCTAGCTTGAAGAAACCTCTTTACCCCTTTTTTTTAAGCATTCCATGCTGTAGTCTCTTGGAAAAACATCGATAGGGAGTTCATTCTATAACTTGAGCGTTCGTGAGAGGAAACAACTCTGAAACCGCGTTATAAAAATTATTGATAATATATTAACGGTATACGCTGGCGGAGTACCAGTGAAGGATGATAAGTGAGAATGAAAAGGCAGGTTAGTTAGCTCGTCGTTGGAGGGAGGAAAAGGATTGTTAGTAATGGAGACTGAGGATCCCATTACTAGCAATATACCTAACCAGGTCGACCTTCTCGCGGTTCTCCCTGGAAACTATCATGGTTAATTTCTGATGATCATCATCATGACAGGCTAACTGACCTGTTTTCATTCTCATCTATCACCCTTCACACCTTCACCACTTACTTCCGCCAGCGTATCCCGTTAGCGCAGGCGGGGTTACCATACCATTTTCATCCAACAAAAAAAAAATACACCTGGAATTCAACATGATGGTTTCCAGGGAAAACCACGTAAAAGTCGACCTAATAGGGTATATTGCTAGCAATGGGACTGGTAGTCCACGTTACTTCATCTTTCATCCCTCATCTTTAGTATTGTGACACAGCAGTGCCAATATAAGGGAAACGCCTGCCGGATTTGGTAATTGTTGGCTAATTGCCTCGTTAATTTTTGACGTTTGTAATTTTATTGTAATACATTGTAGGTACGTGGTGAATGATCTAGTTGCACCTAATTGCCCAATATGTATCATGCTATTTAGGTTAGTTACTGGGGTGGCCACTCCAACGATCGATATTTAATATTTCGCGTCTCATTCTTGATGGCCTAATGGCCTCGATTCTTGCTTTACTACTTGTAAGTAGATTCCCTATAATAGTATTCAACTTTGATGTTGCTTTGGACCACTCCCTGACGCAGTGTCTGTATGAAAAAATAATAAAATAAATGTATAATTTTTTGGTTGAATCATGTTTTTTAATTATGGTATTAAGGAGATATTTTTTTTATACAACTTAGAATGGCAAACAAGCTGACGGCCCACCTGATGGAAAGTGGTAACCGCGCCTATAGATATGTGCAGTACCATAGACATAACAGAGTATACTGTTTCGCCCATGATACCCTCCATGCGTTGCCATTCTTCTATTTCTTATTTTTTGAAATCCTTTAAAGTCGTATCATTAAATATGAAAAACATCGTGACTAGTACTTACTCTATACCATAAAACAGGAATTAATATCGTAATAATTTCTTTTTATTGTATAAATAATAACAAATACAATCTGTATGTTTTATGAATAAAAAAATAGTATATAGTATTTTTACTACTCAATTTGTCCAAATCGGTTCAACAGATTAAACTGAAAGGAGATGGGTAACCCTTGTCGACCTCCGTGCAGTTCACCGTGAAAATCATCGTGCTCAGTTTTTTTTATACAACTTAGAATGGCAAACAAATTGACGGCCCACCTGATGGAAAATGGTAACCGTCGCCTATAGACATGAGCAGTACCATGGACATAACAGAGTATACAGTTTCATCCATGATACCCCCCATGCGTTGCCATTTCTGAGGACTCAGGTGTTATTCCTCTGTACCCTGTAAATTCACGCCATATTTCACCCTTCAAACCGAAACAGCTATGCAAACACAACTGCTTCACGGTTGAAACACGAATGGGACAGAGGTGCCCAAGCAATCGACTTTTGTACAAAGTCTCCCTCTGGTAGATAGAAGAATGATAGTAGATTATTGGCCATTGCTAGCCTATACATTATATTTCCTGTCAGGTAAATCTCCATGCAGTCTATCCGGAAATCGTCGTGGTGTGAAACCTCATGAATTCCATACTGTGGGATGTGCCAATTGCGGATCTATTCTTGAATCTTTATTTTTGTACTACAAAGGTAGCATACAAACATATAAACGATCAAGCAGGCGATCGTTAACGATCATTTTAGTCTATGGACACCTGCGATACTAGGAATGTCTCAATGATATTTAATTTTAGTATAGATTCAATCCAAATGCATTTTGTAGAGTTTTTTTTTTAAATGAAACATTTAGGAATTTTGTTTTTTTTTTTTTATTTACAAATAAATAAACATCTGTTATAATCAATATTAACGCATTGTTTTAATTTACGCTATCTGGATCGATATATCGCTAGTATTGCAATTTGAGGGTGTGAAACGACACAATCCCTATATCGATCGCTCGGAATTGATGTCAAGAGTAACCCTATTGTCTTTATTCTCACCTTATTATATCAGCTGGTAACTGCCTACTTCTTTTGTCAAGTTTGGCAAGCGGATTCGGAACAATTTGGCTTTCGAAGCAGTTTGGCTTTTGGTCATGTTTTAAGAGGGACACTGCTGCCCATCCCTCGACCATTAAATCTAAAAGGATGCCTCTTACAACACTCACGGGAAAGGAGGGGCTGGTCCATTGTATGCCGGGACCACATGGCAACCTCCTCACCTAGTTTATGATACTTGGGTACCGCTCGGGTATCTTTGACCCATACGTGTTTCTACCGTGAAGCAGTTGTGTTTGCATGGCTGTGTTTCGGTTTGAAGATATGGCGTGAATTTACTGGGTACGGAGGAATAACACCTGAGACCTCAGGAATGGCAACGCATGGGGGGTATCATGTGCGAAACAGTATACTCTGTTATGTCCATGGTACTACTCATGTCTACAGGCGACGGTTACCACTTTCCATCAGGTGGGCCGTCAGCTTGTTTGTCATTCTAAGTTGTATAAAAAAAATACAATTATATTATCTTTGAAAAACCGTATACTTATTATATTTCGTTGATACTTGCAGAGTCCATCGGAGCCAGTTCTGACGACGGGCTCCATATCGGAGCGCATCAATATCCTGCAACAACAGTCGGAGCAAACACTGCCCAGCCATGTGGCCAGCACGCTGCACAGGAACAGGAGTGCCTTGCACTCCTCGGGGCAAGGGTCGCTGGGTAATTTGTTTCTCAATTAATATTTCATTAAATTATTTTACTAGGAGACTTTGTGCAAAAGATCGTCTGCATTCGTACCCCTTTTTCACTCAAGTTTCTGCCGTGAAATAGTTGTGTTTACATGGCCGTGGTTCGGATTGAAGAAAGAAGAATTATAAGGTATAGAGACGTGTGTGTCACGAGTTTGGCAGTATACTTTATGTTTTTAATGTCTATTCCAGTATTCTCACACTTCCCTATGGTTGACTGGGAGAGAATGCTTTTAGCATTAAGTCCGCCATGTACACATATTTGTACTAATGAATAAATAGCTCACGATTACCACTTTTCATTAGGTCGATCGTCAGCCTATTTTGTTGTTTCACACAAAAGTAACCATTTTATTCTATTTGACGTCTACCATCAATATCTCTTAAGGGGGGAAAAGTGGTAAAAATGTTTTTTAATTCACATTTTAATTCACTCATTTAGAGAATTAATTTTTACATATGTATATAAAGATATATGATGACGTATAAAATTATAGTATCTTACTTACTTTCCTTTTTTATATGGCAATTTCGATCCAATTTATTCATTTTTCCGTGCAATTATTCATACAAACCTTGTCCTGGCAAATACAAACATAAGAAAAAAGAATTAGCCAAATAGGCAATGAAGATTTAGCCGATTGTTGCCTCTTTATCTTGTTCTTATGTAATTAATTATTCATTTGTTTGTGTACATATTGTTAATCTTTACAATCTGTATCATTCTTTGAAGGGAACGATAAAGTGTTCTTATATTCATTCATTCATTCGAATAGTGATGCGCTTACATATATTCGGCAATTGATTTATATTTTATATAGGTAGATAAATTACTTTTTAGATTCATTGCATTTGGAAGTCAGTATTAGGTTGTATTCGGTGTTTCCTGCAAAATTTTGTTCGTGTCAGTCAGGAGATATTGTAATATACAGCAATATCTATATTTTAGTTACAGTATCTATGTATTGGCCCAATAACGAATATGTTAAATGTCTATTATCCAATATTTAATGTAATGAAATCAAGAACCCGATCTAAATTAACATAAGTATCGATCGATCATTAATATAAGAAATGGGCGATGACCTTTTTTAATGACCGCCGTCAATGTCCAAAAGAGTCCAATATCTAGATATTGGAACATGCCTAGTCTATACTTGACATGCATTAAAACTGTAATTATTATTAGTAAATTGTTTGCTATTATTTTCCTGTTAACATCAAAACGGTCTTATCGTTTTTCAGAATTGAATATTATAATGGCTTTACTAGAATTAATACTTATTAATTATTAATAGAATTAATATTATTTAATTCATTTTACATTTGCATTAGTGCATTTTAGTATTAATTTACCCGGTTTATATTACCTCATAAAAACAAACAAGATGCAACCATCCTGCAAAAATAATAGGAAAACCCAATATGAAACTAAATAACTTTCCTGGAAGAACAATCAAACTTAATGTCGAAGTACAATCATAATTTTTTAATTACTCGTATTGAATATTAGTTCTTATTATTAACACATTAAAGGCGGGAGATCTTGACGAAAGTATGCTAGGTAACGCGGCAATTTTGCCACTTCTCCATGACGCGTATACTCGTCAATCACAGTTAACTAGTTTAGCTACAGTTGAGATAAATCGCATTACTACGACTCCCACCTTTAAGCTACAGTCGAAATAAATTGTATTACTAGGACTCCCACCTTTAAGCTACAGTCGAGATTAATCATATTACTACGACTCCCACCTTTAAGCTACAGTCGAGATAAATCGTATTACTACGACTCCCACCTTTAAGCTACAGTCGAGATAAATTGTATTACTACGACTCCGAGATAAATTATATTACTACGACTCCCACCTTTAAGCTACAGTCGAGATAAATCGTAGTACTACGACTCCCGCCTTTAAGCTACAGTCGAGATAAATCGTATTACTACGACTCCCGTCTTTAAGCTACAGTTGAGATAAATCGTATTACTACGACTCCCGTCTTTAAGCTACAGTCGAGATAAATCGTATTACTACGACTCCAACCTTTAAGCTACAGTCGAGATAAATCGTAGTACTACGACTCCCGCTTTGAATGTGTTAATTTATTTACATTACTGACCAAAAAAAAAAAATGGTACAAAAGGAGGACTTATTTTTGTTATAGAGAATTTTGGGAAATGACAAAAACAAATTACAGATTACATTCTCGGAAGTGGTTTGATATTAATAGCTTTTATAACATGAAGATAAGAAAAATCTATTACAGTAAATGCTTTATATAAGTAACTCATTTGAACTAATTTCAATAAAAAAATTCCCCATTGGGAAATGTTGCTTACAGGGAAAAAATGAGTATAAAAATACTTATCATCTGCAAAATATTTTTGAATTATTTCTTTTACTAACTAACTAAGCTGAGTGGAATAAATAAAATATAAAGAATGTTGCTTATATATAGCGTTCACTGTATTTCAATGTTACTAATTTAATTTAATTGATGAATTATTTCTTTTAGAACTAAAGAGTTTGTTTAATTAAATTATAAAGATTGTTTCTTATATAGACAGGCGTGACAGATATGTTTAAATGTATGTATGTAATTTAATTTGGAGTTATAAATTAAATAAATAGTTAAAAGTGTAAAAAGATTTCATTTTAGGAATTTTTAAAATGACTATCTCAGCCCTTTTTTTACTTTAATTATATGGTGTCAATTATAAGTTTTTTTTTTAAATGATCCAAATAAACGAGTACAGTTGCCATGTAAGGATTTAACTCAAAAGTCAATTAAAACCGATGTCAACTTTACGTCATTTGTGGGTACGTTTCAGGCGGCAGTATGACGTCGTTATCGTCAGCCCCTCCGCAATCCGCGCCGGCGCCCTCGCTCTCCGCCTCGGACCTGTCCGAGCGGCCCCGAGTGAGCCACGGCAAGCCGAACCTCGCGCCGAAACCGCCCGGCATGGCGCCACCATCGCCAAGCATCGAAAATAAACCCTCGCCGCCGCCGAAGAAACTCCTCATCAATGGGAAGGTGGCGTCGCGAACGCAGAGTATGCGGGTGCCGAGGTGAGAGGAGTTTATTTATTTTTTATTTCCATCCGATTACTAAGTGTGTGCCCCGGCATAGAATGGGCCACCCCTTCCTTTCCCGTGGGTGTCGTAAGAGGCGACTAAGAGAGAGCGAGGGATGGGCAGCAGCGTCCTTCTTAAAACATCTCTAAAACCCTAACTGCGGTTGCCAACCCCAAGCGTGGTAATTACTGGCAAAACCCCCCAAGGGGAGATCTATGTTCAGCAGTGGACAGTTAAAGGCTGAGATGATGATGCTGATTGCTAGTAATGATTCTGTTAGACCTCATTACTAACAATTCGTTTCCCCTCAGTATAGTGGGTAGGTTATATTCTAGTTCGCACATAGAATGCTTTATGTACTGATTTATGCGGACAAAGCCGTGGGATATACTTAGTGCGAGTATGAGAAGAGTGTTCATTTGTTTTTATATTATGTTTATGCATGCAGGTCGCCACCAGTGACGCCGGTGTCCCCGCAGTCCCCGGCGGGCGGCGGCGGGCGGCCCGCTCTGCCGCAACTGCCGCCGACGCCTGCACACCCGCCTATTGGCACTAAGCACCCCGCCTCGCACTTCGGTAATTTTATTATTGTAGCATTGCATTCCAAATTGCCGGAGGTCTCGGCATAGAATAGGTTTCGTGTGGACATCGACCGTCAAGTTATATTACTAGCAATGAGGCTGTTTTTTTTTAATGGGTGATAATGGGATGGTACCCCGCCCTCGAAGGACCACCAGTGAGGAATGATAGGTAAGGATGAAGCAGCTCTCTTAGTCGATCGTGACGAATTCAACAAGAATTGTTCACGAAGGTTTCTAGGGGGAACCACGTGGAGGTCGACCTGATAGGGTGTATTGCTAGTAATAGGGCTATTTGACCCCATTACTAACAATCCCTTTCCCCCCGTAATGAGGCTGTTTGATCCTATTACTAATAATCCTTTTCCCCTCTACTGAGTAGTTAAGGCCCGTTACCGACAGTTTTCTCTAGCGCTTCAGGGTTAGGAATTTGTATAGTATTGGAAAATTATATGTCCGTGCAGGCACCCTGCGAGCGCCGCGCGGGCTGCGCCCCCCGGGCGTGTGCCCGCCGCCGCCCCCCGCGCCCCCTGCACCACCCCCGCCGCCCGCCAGGAACCACTCGCTGACTGCGCCGCCGCCTCCGCCGCCACACCATAGGCAGAACGTGAGTGTAGCCAAATCTTATTGTATTTGAAATTCGAACGAATTTTCCCAAAACATATTTGGAAATAGAACGCCCGTTCTCTGCAAAGAGCACACAATGTAGATAGGGATTTTTTAATGAATATTATTGTATTTGAAAATCACATACATAGTATAACGTAATGACAGACCGAATATGTAATCACGTAGACCAGACAAATAATAGGTACACCAGTGTGCGTTTTTTTTTTTTAATTTAAGTTATATCTAGCACGCTTAAATTTAACAATTTCATGTAAAATCTATTACTCTTCAAAACGTATAAATAATCAGAATTTATTTTGTTCAGAATTCCTGTCAAATGCTTTTCGAGCTTATATTTTGTAGCTGTCCTATTTGTCTATCTTTCTAACTTATATTATTATGCTCTTTCTCTTTTATATTACCAATCTATATAATTTTTTATCTAAGGATTATCGTATTTGAAATTCGAATAAATTCCCTTCGAAATTTAAAATTGGAACGCTCGTTGTTTCCACAGAGCACGCACAGCGCACACAGCGCGAGTAGCGACGAAGCGGTTGCCCCACCGCCGCCGGTGCGCGGCTCGTCGATGCGCTCGGCGGACCTGGAGGCGCGGTTCGCGGAGTTATTCCAGTCGGTGGCGCGGTTCCCGCCGCCCGACCCGTTCCTACGCATCGCCAAGGACTACAGCAGCGCCACCGTCGCCGGTAAGCATGCGTGACGTGACGCCAACACGCGACCGCGCGCCACCACTCCATCTGGTGACGGTTGACGAACACTCGCCACTTTTGGATGTCAGTTTTGAAATCATCATGAATCGGTCGGAATCGATCAATAGAAAATGGTGATAAATAAAAATATGTAGTTTTAAATAGATTCTAAACGCAGGGTGACGTCTCTAAAATATATCATTCTGTTATTAAAATGATTAAAGAATGATATTTTTCTCATATCTAACCTGCTACCTGTGATCAGGTAGCATGACCTAAAGCGCTTAAAATAATTTACGTGAATAGGTTATTATATTTTGAATTGTATTATAATTCACATAAAGTGGTTTTTAACATCCTGGTTTATTACAAAATAGCCAGAAAGATGAAGTCCTAAAAGTTTTTACTATTTACATTTATTACGCAATTCACTTTAATTTTAACCTCACAATATTTTTAGAATACATTTTAAACTCTATTACAATAAGTTATTTGAAGAAATTAAATTAACTTGAAAAATGCTTTTATTTTATGAATTCCGACATGTGGTGATTTTAAAATTGATGTTCTATTTACAAAAAAAGTGCTGTCGTTTGAGTGAATTAGCACTAGAGTGAATGATTTGTTTGAAGACACGGTTCGTGGTACTGTCAAGAAGGTTGAATCAAAATGGAGATTGCAACGTGAACATAGAATTGGTGTTAATAAATTTAATTTAAAAAGAGTTTATATTTCTCTGCCTCAATGTCATTGTTGTGTGTAAGCGAGATAGAGGATAGTTGGCAGTCTTATTGCTGTGTAAACGAGACAGAAGATACACGTGTTTATGGCGCAGTCTCTATTTGCTTCTTGAGTACGGTAGATAGTAAACGGTGTAATGGTATTCGAAATTTAAAAAATGGCGCGAATTCGAATCGGTCTTGTAAAGTTTGATGTTTTTGCCGAACTTGTATGTTCGTTGTCTGATATTAAAAAAAAAAACCAACAATCGAATAGTTGATCTGTTATTTTGGCGAATAATATTTACTATAATTGACAGCCTATAACAGTTTATTGGTTATACAGCCGCCTAAATGTATGATTTGCTTATATATGTCGTTATAAAGCTGAGCAAACGCACATATACATGCTACAGTCATGTATATATTATATAGTATTATGTACATTATAATTTTTAAGTAAAATAGGTACAATAACATGAACATTGACATAATAATGACTTAGAATTATTTAGATAATATTAATAATTTGTATTTTAGCCAGAGTCAATATAAATAGGTGTTATTGTAAAACCAAATTATAAAGTTCTTCGGGGAACTATATTGTAGTTAGGCTGAGTGGCCTATAATTTTTTTTTTTAATATATTTCGGTGCATGGATGCATGTGAATATGTCTATCGTGCCTTCCAAGTGTCCTTATAATGTAGACTGAAGATTTTTATATATTGCAATATGCAAAATTAAGTAGAACAAATTTATGTTTGCTATATTCTTTATTACTTATACTTTTCTTATGGGCGTACCCAAAGGGAGAGAGGACGATACGAGAATGAGATTTCAACGCTGAAGTCGTGTGCGCATAAATGAGACTTGACAAAACATGTTTTAATAATTATTGCGGACCCCAGAGGCGTGGAATAACTGATAATAAAATTGAATAAAGGGCAAAATTTAATGGTAAAATCTAAGGTAACAGTTATCCAGACATGTAATTTAACATTTTATGGTAAATGTTTTTTTACATTTTATTTTTTAGATTATAGCCTTATATATACTTTGCACAATTAGTAATCTTAGAATGTCTCTTTATAGAAATAACAGTGTATAAAAATATTTTTTGTGTTAATTGATATTATTTCTTTTCTCCGTTTTATTTTTAAATGACTAAATTCGATAAAAAGATTTTTTTTTACTAAATATGTCAATTAAAAAATTAAATTTATATTATTTTTGTTACTGTTACTCCCTTTTGTTACTCTCCCTCCCCTAACTTTGGTTACGTTCATGAATGATTTTCTACAATTTTGTATTGCTGTCGGCAAATGTTTATTTTGTATATTAGAACTAATTAAAGTATATTGAATTTTTTTTTCATGACAAGTCAAATGTTAAACTAAAATATGATTGAACCTGATATGAACTTGCATTTAAAGTGTGTCTTTAAGATTTAAAGTGTCTCCATTAATCGGAGAGGCCTTTCAGAGCGTTAGACTGCCAAAAGAAAACATTTACTATATTTGTTATTAACGCATACATAAATTTCATTGAAACACGAATCGAAGTGCTTTCAGTTGATCATAATCATTGCAGTCATTGCGTCATGTTCCATCAGCTTTGTCCATAGAAATGACGGAACTAAATGATCCATTTTCATTGAAACGAGATAATCATGTTCATTTAAAGGAAATCATTCGATTTATTCAGTCATCTAGACCAAATTTTTAATTCGCATTATTATTTTTAAGTATGTAAAGTATTTTTTATGAGATTAGGGTTATATGTAACGATAGCAATATATTTGTTGTACGGAACGTTTTTATAAATATAACGTTTATGCTGAGTCATTGTTATAATCGTATATACGTATAAGTAGTTTAGATAATATATTATATTGCGGGTAGTTCTTGCGCGTATCAATCCATGCGTCACATATAAATTTTAATCATTCTCAACCGATTTTAAAACGAAAGAGGTTCTGGATTCGGTTGTATTTTTTTTTAATTATAAGATAGATAGATAGATAATTTATTTGCATCACTTACAGCACACAAACAGCAAAAGATACAAAAGCAAAGTGAAAAAATTACATGTACAAAAGATTTAAAAAAAAATTATAATGTGTCGATGTAGGAAAGAGAGGATGCAGTTCATTATCATCTCAGTTATTAATTGTTTGCTATTGAAGGTAGGTTTTCCTTGTAGACTGCCATAAGGAAAACTATTGGGTCATTTGTTTATGGGTATAGAATATGTTGTAATTACAAATTACTAAAATAAATACATACATGTGTCACGCCTGTCTCCCATTGAGGTAGGGAGTAACAATGGAACGCCAAATTAGTAAAATAATAAGATTAATCAGAATTTTTCATAAACTATAACAATCTGTTATATGCAATTTTAAATTTCCTAATTAATACGACATGGGGACCTTCAAGAAGGGAATTTATAACTTTTTAATAGGTCGGCAATGCACTGGCAACTCTCTTGGTGTCATCAGTGTCCATGGGCTACGATGATCACTTACCTGGCTTTGTCGCTCTGTCACATAAAAAAAATAATAGAATAATAAACAGATTCTAAGCATGTGTTACATACGGGGTGTTCCTTATATTTTTGTTACCTTTATGCACTTTGCCCTTATGTAGTCTTTTAACTAGTAGTTACCTTTAGTAGATGCATTCATTCTTACCTCCACGCAAATACAGAACTATTTTAAAGGGATTTTAAATTACCATAAGTTTTTGACGGGAGAGAGACGCAGGATTATTTTTTTGCTCTCTGCCATGGAATACGCTTACATTAGACAAGTGGCAATAAATATGTATTAATAAGTACGTTCTCGCTATCGTGCGTGTGAAATAGAACGAGAGAAATAACTTTAGACGTCTGGTAATAGTTTAATTATATTTTTTGTAGTACATATCCCTAGATGAGTAAGTCTAGGGATAGGTACTGTAAAAAATATTGACTACGTTGGTATTTTGTTTTTTCACAGTATTATAATAATAATTGGCCAGATTGCTAGTTAATAAACTAGCAATCGTGTTATAATAACGGTTGATTGGTAGAGAATGCCATCACCATGAAATGTAATTCCGAATTTTCGAGTTCAATTTCGTGTTTTTGTTCGTACCGAAATCGTCTAGTTGAATATTTCGTTTGTCTAGTTCAATCGATATTTTGGCATTTTTAATATTTTTAAACGGAACGTATCATGCAATTTTAGCGTCAAATTTTTGTTTCGTTCGGATCCGAAATTTCGAAAAACATTTCATGGTAAGCCCTCAGGTATTAAGTCTGCCTCGTATACATATTTTAATGTGTGTAGAAGTATAAATAAATAACATAAATCCGACCCGGCTTTGTACGGGAAGATAGAATTTTCAAAAATAATATGTAGCCTTATATTACTTGCTAATTTAAAAAAAAAATCGTTCACCTATATAACGCTATATGTTGTAGGTAAAAGAATTTTTAAAATCATTAAATAATTTTTGAGTTGCAATATAATGAGTTTTTACCGTAGTTAAGACTAACGGTCTCGAATGGTTCCAAAACTAGTCGAACGTTCTCGACCAAATTATACGCAAGTTTAACCGATAGAACCATTAAAATATACTTAATTAACTTTTAACAATAATTTTTTTTTAATTTATCCATTACAAAGAAATAAGCATATTTTTCCCAATCAATTTTAGTGATTCCCTTCCCCTTTATACTTGCTGTTTTGGTTGCATGCGATTGATAGACGTAATCACTACCCGTACGAAGACATACGTATCTTATATGTGGAATTAGAACATAATTTGTAGATGGAAACTCTTGTTGTGATCTTATAATGTTGAGGTGCCATTTACCGCAAATGTATCTTTGTAATTGTGACGGCTTGATTCACCCTTATTCACTGAGTTTACAGCCCATCACTGAATTGCTTAGCTGTTTTTTTTTTTTTTTTTTTTTTTTTTATTTTTATGCAATGTACCAGAATGCTATTGTTGATTTTCTATTAATTTGGATCTTAATTTAACTATTGGAGTAACGATAATTTTGATAGCAGTTAAACGATTTAGTGAGAGCACTATACGCTTCTTGGTTTAAAAGAAGCGGAAGGTATTGTGATAGTGATATGTACGATGCTTAATATTTATATTATTATTTTTTTTTTAATAATAAAAAAATGTAATTATTATTGACTATATATTTGGTATTTCATTGTCCAACCTACATCTTGTGTTGTAAGCGGCTTCGATGTGTATGTTCGGCTGATGCTTGAGGAGTATATGACAGGGCTTCGTATTTTGTTTAGTTTTGCCACTTAAGGTCTATACTAGACGGATGTTGAGGTAGTTTTGTTTGTCCCTCAAAATTGATCATTTTGAAGTCACTTACATAATTATCATATCAGGCATTAACTGTCTACAGCTCAATTAGGCCCTTATAAAGGGGGGTTTTTGTTAGTTGTTGCCACATTTGGCAGGCGGATTGGCAACTGCAGTTAGACTGATGATTTTTAAGAGGGACGCTACTGTCCATTCCCAACAATTAAGTTTCCTTAGTTATCTCCTACAACACTCACGGAAAAGGAAAGGAACGGGAGGAAAGGGGGACTGATTTACATATGGAATTAAAAATAATGATTCCTTTGTATACGTTTATTGTAAATTATCGTATTAATTTTAAATGATTAGTTTTGACGGACAAAAAGTAGGTTGTTCCCTAGACAAGTGATTAGCGAATTTATTGATACATACATTTTCGCTACCGCATGCATGAGATAGAATGAGACAGTAACATTCGCCGTTTCGTTCTTTCAAGTGCGTGCAATAACACTTGTCTACAGGGTAAAAGACATCGTCTGTATAGGCCATAAGACTATTCAAAATACAGCATAACGAACATAAAATGCTTTAAGATATTCTCGAAGTGAATACATAGATTGGTGATAGGTGATCAGATTGTCCATCTGAGTTGTGATCTACACAATACCAACCGCATGTAACTGGGTAAGTTCCTTTTACTACATTATACGCACGTTATTTATTGACAATAGTTATCAACTAACAGTAGAGCATGATTACATTACCATAACTGCACGCAGCAAATGCATGGTCATCGGGTAAACGCATAACTTGTACGAAGCATGTTCATTCGGGGTAACTTAAGCTTGAAAACACTTTGATTTACAAATAAAGCAAACTGTTAATGCTAGATTAATCATTGTAATACTTATATACGGACGATTGTAATAGAGCAAGCGTAAGACATACTGAAACATTGTAAATATAACAGATCCGCTAATACTTTTCAATATTTTCAAACTAAGCTTGAGAGCTACGTTTAATTAATAACAAAATTGTACATATTATAATGTAAAGGTATGATATTTGAGTAAGTATTTTTGGACAGGTAATGATAAGTTTATTGTGTTCGTGCAGTGAGCAAGGCGCAGGCGCCGCTGCCGCCGCTCAAGGTCCCGCTGGAGGGCTGGAGCGGCACCTCGAGCGCCTGCTAGCGAGCGCGGGGGGCGCCGGCCGCCGCCCCCGCCCCCTGCACCGCCCCCGCCCCCGCCCCCTGCACCCCTGCCCCGCCACCACACACTCGCACCCGCACTCGGCCTGCACCGCGCACCTGGCGCCCGACGCCCACCCCGCACACGCGCTGCTCTCCGTAGCACACGCCCTACTCTGCCCAGCGAACACCATCGCGAACCCCGGCCAGCCCGACAACACCACGGCTGCGGACCTCTCGGTCCTCCCCATAGACGAAGTCACGATGCCCGCCGACGACGTCAGCGACCTCAGGGACGTCGTCGACGCGATCAACAAGCTCTGCGAGACCATGAAGTCTTCGAGCTACGAGGAAAGCGAGGCGGACGACTATTTCCCGGTAGAATCCCGGTACAGCGAACCAGTGGAGATACAGTTTGTAAATCCCGTGGAATCGATCCGCTACGAGCCCGTGGACTCTCGCGGCGACCGCCCCGCGGAGTCGCCCCCGTGCAGTGTGCCCCGCTATGAAGAATGCAGTGCGGAGCTCGTGAGCCCCGAGGAGGTGTCAGTGCGGAAGGTGGAGGCGTACCGCGCGGAGAGGTGGCGGGACTCCCAGGAGGACGCGGAGACGGTGACGTCGGACACGGAGCCCGCGATAGCGCAGTTCGAGCCGATAAGTGAAATGTACTACACGGCTTCCTCCGAGGTGTCGTTGCTGTCCGACCTAGATTTACCCGAGAGGGCGCAGAACGATGAGGATAATTTACCAGAGTCGAGGGAGAAGGACGAACGGAAAGAGTGCGTCATAGCCGGCCACGTCGCCGCGATGAGGGAACGTTTCGAGAGTATGACGCGCACGAATACGCCGTGTCCGGACATGATGAGGTCTATGTCGCCGTCGCTTGACGTGTTTCGAAATATAACGCCCTCGCCTGATCGCTTAGGATAAGGCAATATTGAAGTGTTCCAATGGTTCTTTAGATAAGTATTGCGAGTGATTGTGAACGAATGAGTATCCCCCTTACGGATTATATTTATAATCACACTGATAGTCCTAGTCCGTATTTTGTAACACCAATTATAATAGTCTACGTGCCAACTGAAGTTGAAGGGTTGTGATTATTTTCCGTAATTCCATCTGATCGCAATTAATGTATCGGTACATATCGTGAAAGATTGTTTAGTTTTAGCTGTTGTTTAGCCGTTTTTAGGCGCTAAAGGATTATAGACCTTAGGGAATACGGTGTCCGGAGCCGTTAGTATATTGTAATCATATATAACGAAATATTCAAATAATCTTTATTCTATGTTGTATTTATTGTGATCTTGAAAGCTCAAATTTTGTAGTTTTGTATCTTATAAAAATAGACGTGATTTGTAACAGATATACCTACATCTTATTCATCAGACCAAGTAGCCATAACGTGCTCTAGTGTAGCGTTAGACACGAGTGATTTATTTATTGGATGCAAATTACAAGTTTCGAGATTACGCATGTATTACAAGAAGTATTTTCTGTTGCATTATTGGAAGTTGCCATAATTAGTTCTAAGGGTAATGTTTAAGTGTTTGTTGACAAATTATTTTTAAATGACTCCATTTGTTTACTTTGAAATTGTCTGTTGTGAATTTTCTATTTAAATATTTGAGTAAAAATTTTCTATGGTGATACTAGTTAATGCAATAATTTAATTATAATTTTTACACGTATTTAGTAAGCCTGTTGTATTTCGAGTACTTATGCGAGGGGTTGACAATTGGTATTAAATTAACATTTATTCAATCAAACTAGTGATAGTTGTCATGTATTATAAACGTGTTATGTGTACAGAGGAGACCTTTTATTATTGATTCAATATAGGGCTTTATTGATAATCATATTTTTTTAATTTTATTTACCTATCAATTCTATTGCTTCCTTCTCATGTTCAGATGGTATATTTTTGGTGATGTCTACCACCAAAACGTAGACTTTGAGAACAACAAGTAAAAATCTCAAAACTTGTCAAATCTATTTACTCGATATAGATACGTAAAGATATATTTTAAACTTCAATATGTCTTTACATATTTTTATTACATAAATTCGTTCTGATGGAACACCTAGTTTAATATATGAGCTTTATTTCCTAGTCTTTAAAATCATTAAAACTAGGACTAGGTCTTACGAGGACCCAGACAACGACCATCTGGGGGTACAACCAATACACGAACGACTATGTGAGGGTACAACCAAACACGCAGGATTTTAAGATAATTTATAAATGGGAATGTGAGTATTTTTTTTATTGGGTGAAAATGGAATGGTAACCTCGCCCGCGCTAACGGTATATACTGGCGGGGCACCAGTGAAGGATGACAGATGAGAATGCAAAAGCAGGTCAGTTAGCCCATCGTGATGAATACACCTGGGATTCAGCACGATGGTTTCCAGGGGGAGCACGTGGAGGTCGACCTGACAGAGTGTATTGCTAGCAATGCGATTTGTAGTCCGTTTTACTAACTATTCCTTCCCCCTCCCCTTGGGAAAGTGAGTTTGTTACCTTGGATAAAATCTTGTATCTTAAAATCAACTTTGTTGTGTGTTTTATGTGACACTGCGTCTAGTTTTGCTTTCCCACTTGCCACACCATACCATAGACCCAATATAACGTACACATCATTCCCTTTGTTATGTATTAATATACGTTATTTCTATAATAAAGCATTTGAGTGATGATGCTCGAATATTGCATTTTGGTGTTTACATGTGATAGATAAATAAAAGCAAAATTTAAACATTTGTTTTAAATTATCTATCACATCAGTATATACATTGCAGTATGTCCCAGCATAGTATGGGCCACCATTTCCCGTAAGTGTCGTAAGAGGTAACTTAGGATACTTAATGGTCGAGGGAAGGGTAGCAACGACTCTTCTAAAACATCACTAAAGTTGCCAACCCACCTGCCAAAAAGGGCAATTATTGGCAAAACTCTTTTATATGGGGGAGGCCTATATGCAGTAGTGGTTAATTTCTAATTGGATAATGATGATTAATATATATGATATAAAAATAAATCAGATAGTTCCTTAGTCCTTAGGAATGCCGATTCATAGGTATTACCAAATAATATTGTGCGCATTATTACTGACGCGTATGGCTGTTTCGATATGAAGAGTCGGATAAGACTGTATCATTACAGGGTGGTGAGGTACTATGTTGGTCAGGAATGGCAACGCTAGAGTATCATGTGAACCAGTGTATTCTGCATCTAATATTCATTCATGGCGCTATTTATGTCTATAAGATTACCACTTTCCATAAGGTGGGTCGTCAGCTTCTTTGCCATTGTATCATAAAAGAAGACACATTATCTTTTATACTAGTTATCGCCGTTTAGTTACCCTTTTTCTATCAGTTCAGGTGGACGATAACTGGGTTTCCATTCTGTAAATTGTGTCGGTTCTGAGGCGCCATTTCTCTTAACCTATTTCTAAAATTTCAATTTAATATCTCAGTGAAATCTTTATTGTAAGGACCAATATGAACTAATTTTTAATAGATTTAAGTCAAAATTATGCCTATAATGGTCTATTAAACAGTAATTTCATGAAATTATCAAATTAAAATATTAGGTTAAAAGATAAATTTAGAGAAATGGCACTTCGGAATCGGCCTCACAGGGTAAGCAAAAATATAGTATAAAACGCCATATGAAATATCATCGTTCTGCCAACACTGAATTTAGCTGTATGTGGCATAGTTCTTGGTCATGATTCATAGACTTCCATACTTTTTTTATGACGCGTCACTTCCTGCTTACTCCGGAATCGTAACTGAACGGTTACATGCAGTCAGCTTGAATCTAACGCTGTGAAGTTTTCTGCGTTAGTCGTCGATATGGAGACTGGTATGCAGCTTCTAGAATCCGATTCGGTGCTCGACTATATCAAATTTATATGGATAACTCCTTCAATCTTAATTAGATTGGTAAATATGATATAACAGTTTGTCATGTCATTAATCAATATTATTCGTGAAACTGAACAGTGTTCCTCAAATTATAACATAATGGCGGCAAATAAGCATACAATCCATTTGACAGTAAATGGTTATGGATGCCTACTCGTCTAGATGAGTGGTAATATAATTTATCGACAGTATCGTTAGCGAGCCCAAAAAGTAGAATCAGACAGCGATGTCCAGTGTCTGGTTCTCTCATGTAAGCGTTAATCGAAACGATCTATAAATAAATTCGTTTACCACTTGTCGGCGAGGCAGGGGTGCCACGTGCGTGTTGCCAGCTATAGAAACCTTCATATACAAACTAGTACAAACGTAATTATCTAAGAGTCAAACTGAGAAAAAATGTATTTTGTAATATTTATGACGCTGTTTATATGTCTATAGACGTTTATCACTTTCCATCAGTTGGATCGTTAGCTTGTTTACAATTCCAAGTTGTGTAACAAAAATTGGTCAATGATGATAAGAACGGATAGATACACAATCTACTCAGCGACAATGTTTTATTTTTAATAGACGAGGATGGAATTGTAACCTCGCATGAGCAATCAGTATACCATGATGGTTTTTCAGAGACAGTTTGGAGGTCGACCTGATAGAGGATATATTGCTAACAATGGGGTTGTTACTAACAGTCCCTTCCTCCCCTGTGGCAACAATGTTAGTGACACCGAACAATAATATTTACGAAAAATAAATATGGGGTAGTCAGAGGCATATGTCGACCTTTACTTAAAAAAATTACGTTTACTTACAAACAAACAAGTCATCATTCAAATTTATTCAAAATCAATTTCAATCATTCGAGTTTTCTATAAATTTCCCATATAAATCTCTATTATTCATAAAACATTGGAAATGACATATCAACAAAAACACATAAGGATGCATTAAATATAATGTCATGCATGAGTGCTGGGACTAAGAAAAAAAATCTAAAAACATCAATCAATTTTTATATTCTGTCTTGTCTTATTGATAAGATTACCTTCATGTTTTTTGCACCAAGTCCCGAGGTAGACAGAACGAAATTCCAGTTTCATATTTAATACATTATATATATATATATATATATATTGTTTGATATCAAAATATTACCATACGGTCGGTGTTTTGATACGCAAGGCGACTTGCGTGCCAAAACATTGACCTTCGTTTCAACGTTTATTTAGGTGTCAGACTGGTCTGAAATTTATGTTTGTTATAAGTATTATTCTTGTTTTCAGCGCATGTACTGTGTTGTGAAGAGGTTAAAAAAAGAAATAGAAATATGTAACAAAACTTTTATTATATCTATTTCTCAACGAGTAATATGTATTTAGTACTTACCTATCATATTACAATTCTATGATCCGCCAGTTGCTAATCATTGCCTATGAACGCCTGCAACACTAGGTGTGTTATACCATCTTAACTGTTAATTATGATTGCATTTATAAACTCCAGTGTAACATTGATAAAATAAAAGAATTATTATAATTAATGCAAATACATACATTTGACTTCTGTATGATGTATTATTAAAAAAAAAAATATATTAAGATGATTATAAACTTGGTTACTAGTTAATAATCTTTAAATACATATAATAAAGCTGAAACAGTTAACTTAGATGCATTGTACGAATGTTCATAATGATGCGATGGGAGAAGAAAGGAGTAGTATGAAACGATGTGAGATTATAAATGAAAGCAAGTCTTAAAGTCCAGAGCATTTATTGAGTAAAATAGTCAAAATACTACAAGAGTAGGCAAACGTCACAACTTTGTGGAAATGCTTAAGAAAAAATTCAAGGCAGATAACATTAACATTTCTTATTCTTTACACGCATCTCTTAACACCAGAAATTCAAGAACGGAATCACTACTGAAATCTGCCGTGTCGACAGTCTACGTGAGAGCTCGATACTCAATAGGTAGTAATTAATGATTAACGTCAAGGGGACAGGGGGCCGCCAATCCAACAACGCAAGTTGTGACAGGTGCTAGTCGCCTGCAGGCGGGCGCGCCGCAGGGAACTGCCGGCCCAACCTCGGCGCGGCCGGGCGACCGCGGTCACCTGTCCCGCCACTTAGCTGCGCCCGCTGCTGCGCCGGCCCGGGCCTTACCTTGTCGCGTTAGTATCCCGTCACCGCACAGTTTAGCATACAGCGTCGGACACACAACCGGCCAAGCGGACGACGTACATGGTACGGGCAGCGAGCGCCTACCTTCGCTCGGGCGCGGGCTGGCGGCTGGCCGGGCTGGCTGGGCTGGCTGGGCTGGCGGGGGTGGCGGGGGTGGCGGGGGCGGGCGGCCGGCGGCTGGCGGCGCTGGTCGTCGACCCCGGCTACCGGAAGCGCGGCTGCATCATGGGCAGGCCGGGCACGCCGCCCGGGAACATGGCGCCCATCGGCATCATGCCGCCCGGCAGCAGCATCCCTGCACACACAAGTGCGTCAGTGCGCCGCCGCCGCGAGCGCCGAGCGCCGCGTGAGTGAAGCAACAGGGGACCGTGTGGGTCCAACACACGGCTGAGCCGTTGTGACTGCTTAACAATCGCCTGTCACCCGGACCTCGCCCGGACCACCACCCGTACATCCATGTGCCTCACACGACCGCCGCTATCGACTACCACACTATAGACGATGCATTACTGAACGTCTAAGTTTGTACAGAAATATGTAACGGATTGACAGTGAGTACGTAGTAGTAACGATAAAATAATAATAATAATAATAATAATGGTGAGTCTACGGATGGACGTCGCAAGGTTACCGGGGCTCGTCGTCTCCACTGGTCGCACGTCTGTGGTCACATGTATGCACTGAAGTGTGGCGACTGATTTAAGGTGCAGTATAAGCAAAGGAACACAGGTAGGTAGGATAAATAATTCACATGAAAAATCACACTTTCAAAATACTCGGCGATGTAATCGTATCCGTAGTTCATGCATGTATCAGTGTGATCCGAGATGGTTGCTCGTAGAATCCAATTCAGCCAACGACTATTAAACTCTTCGGTTCATGCACATTGTAAAGCGACAAAACTACTGTACGTAAATATAATATTAGTGTACCCACCCGTAAAACCGACAAAAAGTCACATTTTATATGACACTACGAGAAAATCGAGACAGTAATAAGATAAGAGCTACTACAATAAGCAAATCCATTAAGGAATGTGAATAAAATTACCGCTTATTTTTCATTCCGATCCTCCGATTGTGCGGATGGCACATCAAAATCACAGTTTAACTCTTGACAGTGTCTATGGACGATCGGTCTCAATATGGGGGAGGGTGTGATGAGATCGCCCGTGTGTTAGTGGGGTGTTAGGGAGATGTGAGTATCGGACAAGCTGTTACGTGTTGATCATACTGAGAGAGACAGACAGAGAGATCGTGTGGCGACGCAGGCGGCCGGGCCGGCGCCGCTACTAACTGAACGTATGAGCGCGCCCACCAACTCACTGGCAGTGGCAGACTGCTCTCAAAGCCGAGCACGTGACACTCTTTGCCGCCTTCGACATTAGCGAATCGAGTGTAGAGAGCACGTCGACGCTCTTAAAACAATCCACCATTATCATTATAGAAAATGTATCACTAAGTTTAATGGTTCAGGTTTTGATGCCGTGGAAAATAGAAAATATCGACCATGTTGTATAAAGTATGGTTTATTAAACAAAAAAAAAAGGAAAACAAAAAACAAACGGGGCCAATCCATTTTCCACGCTGATATCAAAATATTCGAATCATAATTACAATTTAATTTGAGCAATATGTAAATTAATGCAATATCCTAAATTAACACTCATTCAAACAATATAACTAAATAAATGTCACGCAGTATATATTTAGTTCAGTAAATGCAATAATAATAATACTGTTTCATCAAAATGTATGTGCGACTACATCGGAATAGCGAAAATATTAATTAATAATCTTTATAAAAAAATATGGATATAATTAATATACTTTTTCTGACATGTATCATTTCTCTTTATAGAATTTATAAATCCAGTCTTCCAAACCTTTCCAAGTAACAATGTGTTATTAATGTTAAGTTCATAATACAAAAATCTAACAAATACTATATATGCCTCGACTCTAGGAGGCGATTTTAAAAATACATTTAATACAGGATTATAAATGTTTATGATTAATGTGCAATATGACTAACCTGACGTCCTTACTTCTATCCTATATCTTGATATTGAGCTTACAAAACATTTTTCGATTACTTAACACTAGCCGGAGGTCTAGAACACAAAACACCCATGTGAAAGAACGCGACAAACATTACGGCTACACCTAGTGTTGTGACCTCAGATGTTGGCATAGAGTTCGCACTAAGCTGCGATTTAACATTATCAAGTCACAAGTAACATCACTAAAAATTAACTATATAAAAATAGTGCTATCAACTATTTAATTATCTTCCAACTGTAAGTCTGTATTTGGGTAGGAAATATTTTATGGAGTAGAAGAGACCTTTGGATACATATGATACATATGACAATACTTAAATCTTTATTATCAACTATTGATAAAATACCTTAATTATATTAAAATTTAACTCTTGAGATGTTAGAATTTTCATACAAAATGATTGGATAAATTTTTATTTTTTCTTTAGAGAGTTTTACTTTAAATATCAGTTTATCATTATCTAAATGTGATTACTGCATTGTACCTTGCTCTATCTATAGATAAGGAATGAGAAGAAACGATGTGCGCCATTAATTTGGAAAGATGATCAAAAATGTCTTTGGTTTGACTAGTGTTTGAATAAAACCAATTTCAGGTGGAAAATATTAGTTATGCATAGAGTAAGGGGAAAATACTAATTTGTACCATCAACTAGGTGAACAGGTATTTAACCTTAATCATTAAAATTGAATGGTGAAATCATTTGACACATGACAAAATTTATAACGACTGTGTCGCGACATGACAAGATTGTAGATTGGGTGGGCGGACGTCAATATATCGAGATGGGGGATAAATATTTGTCCGTTTTTGAATCACAAAAACAACCTTCTACAAACCATTTTATTTATTGGTGTGTTTTGTCATATATACTTTGACATTTACAATTTATAACTTTTAATAAATAGACAATTTATGCAATCTTTAGACAGATTATAATCATTAGTCGATTACTTCGGCGTTTCATTTAAATTACACCATCACGAGTCAGGGGAACTCAAAACATTTTTAAATTAAGAATTTCAATAAAAAAAAAAAAAAGACAAAACACGTCAATAGATTCAAAAGGTTTATTTGTTTTTTTATGAACAAGGCTAGGACCGCTCGAGACCGGTGAGGTATCGGGCGCCCGACGCGCTTCCGTGTGGTCAGTAGTGTGCGGAGGGGGCGGTGGAGGAGGCGGTGGGATACTGACCGGGCTGCAGCGGGCGCATGAGGTTGAACTGCGGCATGACGGGCAGCATGCCCATCACGGGGGGCATGGACACGGGCACGCCGACGCCGACGCGAACTGGCGGCGCGAGCGGTGGCAGCGGCGGCAGCACGCCGACCATCGGCTGCACCAGCGGCCGGCGTAGCGCCGCCGCCGCTGCCTGCTGCCGCGCCGCCGCCGCCACCGCCGCTGACATGTGTGCCGCCACCTGCCACCACGTCTCTCATGTCGCTATATTATGTACTAGCTAGTCCTTTTTAAGATGAGAATGGAATGGTAACGACGTCTACACTCTCTTATCGTTATACACTGGCGACGAGCTGGTGAAGGATCTTCTCACGGGTACCATTCCATTTTCATCCATAAAAAAATAATTATAAGCAATAAAAATTACACTATTAATTTCTACTGAATTATTTGAAATAGTAGACTACTTGTCTTGCAATTTCTTAAAGAATTTCAATTTTATAAAATGTAGACAGAAGAAAAATCCACATTAAATCAAGTAAAATATCTTTAGTTCCAAAACTAAATTAAATATTTGTTTTTAGGAATAATATATTTGTATAAAAAGTTTAACAGATTGCTGAACATAGAATATAAATAATTTTACAGTGAATGAAACGACCTCATTCAATGTTAACGAAATTAGCTGATAACATAAATTGCCTTGACCTCATTTCCATGACATAGCTGCACAGACAATAATCTGCTTAATTATATGTTAATAAGGTTCTACTTAGGTGTTACATGGTACCACATAGCTAATTTGTATTGATAATTTCTGGTTTTAAAGCAGGCTTGATAGGTTCTGGTTTTATTGACCAGAGTAAGTTTAATATATGTAATGTTATAAAACATGTAGTATATTAATAATGCAATATATTTAATATTTTATGTTGTCTTGTTTCTTTAATAAAAAATTGTAATTTTTTTTAAAACAAGATTGTATAGTGGTGTTTACAGACATAGAGACAGATATTGCAAGTGCCTTAATTGTTTTTAATTATTTCTTTAAATAAAAATTGTTGCTAGTTCTATATAATTGATTATCAACGAGGAAGATTCATTGAGTAGTTACTCTGGTACAGGTAAACATAGTGTGGGATGAGCATCTGCTAGATTGGCAACTTCAAATGTATTGCAGAGATTCAGTAAATTGCAGGTGGTTCAAAACTTAAGGCAGTCTATGGGTTAGGTTTATGTTTAGTAGTTGAATTCAAAGTATTCATACTAACATTACATTGTGTTAAATACTTTTTTAGTGGGCAGATAATGGTTGATATGATGTTATGATAATCCTCTGCTAAATTTGTCTTTTTTTGTAATTTTTATTCATTATATGGCCAATAACTGGCAGGTAGAGTTGTAGTATCTATGTTTATGTATGTTTTTTTTACAACACAGGGGACAAACGGCCCACCTGATGGTAAGTGACTACCGCTGCTCATGATCACTCACAACACCAACAGCATTGTAGGTGTGTTGCCGGCCTTTTAAAAAGGAATATACTCTTTTCTTGGAAATTATGATGTATTGTATGTCTGTGGTGATTCTTTTTTAATGGATGAAAATTGCATGGTACCAGTGAGAGGTGATAGGCGAGGATGAAAAGGCAGGTCAGCTAGCCCATTCTGACAAATTCAACTGGAATTAATCACGATGATTCCCAGGGGGAACTATATGGAGGTCAACCTGACAGGGTATAGTAATAGGGTTATTTGGGGGGAAAGGGACTGCTAGTAATGGTGTCTAACAGCCCCATTACTAGCAATATACCCTCTCAGGTTGACCTCCATTCGGTTTCCCCTGGAAACTATCATGTTCAATTCTTGTCGAATTCATCATGGTGGGCCAACTGACCTGCATTCATTCTCACCTATTATCTTCCACTGGTGCCTCGTCGGTGTATACCAATAGCGCGGGCGAGGTTACCAATCTATTTTCACCAATTAAAGAGTTATTTGGCTCCACTACTATCAATCCCTGCGCGCTGCGCGTGCGTGGTGATGGCGGTGGTACCTCAGCGTGGCTGGTGGCGGGCGCGTGCTGCGCGTGGGCGGCGTGGGCGGCGTGGTGCGCGTGGTGCGCGTGGGCGGCGGGCGCGGAGGGCGGGCGCGGGCGGTAGCGCGGCAGGCGCGCGCGGATCTCCTCCAGCGACACGTCCTCGGGCGGGTGCACGATGCGCGCGCCCGCGCCCGTCGCCGTCACCAGCGGGCACGCGTTGGCCGCCGGCGGCTTCACGTCGCCGTTCTCCTTCGGCTCCGCGCCGCCCGCCGTCGACGTCGTCGGCGGCGCGCTTATCGTCGCGTTGCTGCAACGTTTCGTCGGACAAAATTCACTTTAAACTTGAACGAAATTCCCATGGAACCAACTCATTATTCCAGTATCTAGTAATTTTTAATATATCACATTCAATGTTGCACCTTCAAAAATTTAAAAACGAAATAGTTTTTTATTTATTATCAGTATTCATAAATTTTACTCATACTGTTAATTTTATTAGGAATTTATAAAAAATCTAATTATCAAGTTTTTAAAAAAAATTATCACACACTCTTTAATATGAAATGGTAACTATAAAATGTAAATTTCAAATTTTTACGCAAACTGCACGAGTCAAAAAACACAATTTTACATATAAACAAATACTTATTTGTCCACACAATTCTTGCACAAATGAGCAAAACAATACATGTAGCTAGAAATTGATTTAATTCTATGCATTATAACTGTAACAAGTAAGTTTGTTGCTACCTACCTATACGCAGGGAAAGTAGGTTTGCTAGGCGTAGAGACAGATATACTGGACGCAGGAAACAGTGGCCTCATACCAGGCATCATCATCCTAAAATTATGAGAAAAAGAAACAAATGAATTTTAAAATTATTCAAAACCTAGACATGCAACTAGAAACAATTATATATTTATATAGGAATGGTTCACAAGCAAATTAATTTATATTTTTTCGTGTCTATTATACATAAATGTTATTGCCAATCATGAACTGATTTCAATGATACCATCATCAAATTAATGTGTTTTATAGAATTAGAAATTGTTAAAATAAATGAAATATTATATTATTTCTTTAAAATGTCCAATGCAATTTTATAATTTTGTTAATAAAATTACGATAATCAATACTACAAAGAAATAACAATGACAATTTATGAAATTAGAAAATACTTATATTAAAAGTAAATGAAATAATATCAAAATGCAGGATTATAATATAGAAATGAAGCTTTCTGAAACTGGTTCCATATTTTTGTAATATTAAAATGGATAGTAATATCAACATACTGCAACAATGGCAAGGTCTGCAGGCTGCAGTCCATAACATGGTGATGAACTGTTGTCTACGGATGCTTTAATGCATCACTCACTAAACAGATTCGCTCAAGGCGTTCATGGCAACTAAGTCTGGTTGCTGTAGATCAAGAAACAATTTAAAACAATTTCTATAAGGAAAATACTGACCTATGGTTTGAACTCTATACATTAAGATCTCAAAGCCGCATGAACACTTAAAAAATAATCTGTTATTGAATTGAGAGTTTTATCAGAAATACAGAGTATCCAGTTGATAAAACAGAATTACAACATGAATTCTCTAAGGTGGGAAATGGGGTATGATTCACATATAGCAAGTTTGACTTGCTGTATGTGAATCATAATAAGATTTGCTTTTTATAATCTGCTATGTTTAATAGACCTCTATTGCTGAGGGCATGATATTAATAAACAAGCACATTACACATAGGCAGGTGAATTAAAGCAAATTCAATTATGATTTGCATATAGTGATGTTTTTAACTCGCCATGTATATCCCCATAAAATGTTAGCCTACAACTGTGCTTTGTTCCCGTACCCACCTCTTATGACATCTAAATAATAAAAAAGAATGGTGACCACTTTACACTAGAAATAAAGTACAAAAATGTAACACTCAACTTGATTCAGTGACACTCCTAGTGTTGTAGGTGTCTTTAAGCTACAGTAACTGTGTATCTGATGGGCTGTATGTTTGTTTGCCACCTTCATGATATTAAAAAAAAAAACATTCTCTAAACTCATCTCTAAAATTAATATTTTAATAGTATCATGAGGACGTATTTTATTAATCATTATAAACTGTACAATAATTTTGACAATTCTATTGAAAATTTTGTTTATATTAGCTTTTATAATAAAGATTTATATAACGATGATGTGATATCAAATTGAAATTTTCATTTTAAAGATAGGTTTAAAGAATAATGTTTCAAAATTGACCCCCCCTGTCAATTATGAATAAAATATATTAAATCTTAACTCACCTAGGTGCTGGTACGAATGGTGGCATCATGTGATTCATAGACATATGTCCAGGGTACATCCCAGGGGGCACTGGTCCCATGGGTGTGGGCAGTATGCCTGGGGTCACCGAAGATGGCCCAGCGCCCAACTGTGCAATAATTATTAATAAAATAATAATATTAATTAAATAATTAAAATTACATAGTAGTTAGAATAAATTGTTTTTATAATTGGCATTTGTACATACATTTTGTAGGTGTATTTTAAATGAAAATATTAGCCTGTAAAAAGGAAGTCAGCTTCAAACTAAGAAGTTACCTAAATAGAAAATGTTTTTGTTGTAATTAGTTAAGCATAAATTCAGTATTTTTGTCCTTCTCATTTTTTAAATGATGAGAGTTTGCATATTTAATGAAAAAGAAAATTCATCAAATTGTATTGTCTGTGGAAAAGTTGAAGATGTGCAGCATCTATTGATGGAATCTGACAGGAACTGAAGGGAAAGGGAAAAAATTTTAAAACCATTTAATATTACTAAATTTTATACGGGTATTGTTCAGAGCATAATGCATTGCTTCTACTTCCAAAATTGCTTTGTGCTTAAGTGAATTAGTAAGTAGTATGGTTTAGTTATAATTATAATAGTAGATAACTTATTTAGATTTTATGGATATGACATGTTAAAAAACAAAAATCCCAAATGAAATGTAGATTAAAAATTTTTTTTTTAAATATATGATGAAATGATAAAATTTAGTTTAATAATAAAGTTTGATAGAACAAAATTTGAATTTAGAAAAAAAAAATTAATATAGCTTCCTAGTTGTGAAGCAAAATAAAATTATTAAATGCATCTTACCAATGCTGGTGTGGCTTTCTTTTTTGCAGCAGGTTCATCATCTTCACTGTCAGAACCTTTGCCTCCGCCTGAACAAACAACTATTATAAGTAATCAAACTATTATTATTTACACTACCCATCAACTAATGTTAACATCAAGTATGACTACAGTAACAGAAATAAAGTAAAAATGTACATACATTTGGTTCCATAATCATGAGAGATCCCTTGAAAAGAAAAGTTTTTATACCTGATTTTTGTTTTTCATGCTCCTTAACATCTTCGGGCGGAATACCTTCCATACCATAGATTTCTATTTCTATATTTGACCTATTTGGTAATGAATTTGGTACTTTGTCTATGGCTTCCTTGTGAACCTGCAATTTATAATAAAAACCCTTTTAGTAAATTATATGCATTTATTATTATGGATTATTAACATGGTTGATATTTTAGTTTTACTCTTACAGGAGCAGAATAAGTCGCGCCAATATCTAAAGATATTACGTGGGTTAAAAAAGGATTGCGCATTGGTCGTGGGCGGGCGGGATATTTGCCAAGTCGGTAGGGCTGACGTACCTGCATGCAGTGTATTGACAATCCGGGTCCAGTGTACAGCTTTTTGTGACATATGTGACATTTGAAATGCTTCGCTTTTTGATGCTGAATTAGAATCTTCTCGTCGTCAAATTCCCTATTACAATACCTAATAAATTGCTAAGGAAATTATTACAAATACCATAGTAAAAATTAGGTTACAATTGTCAAAATTACAATTCGCAATACTGCAGTGTTGAAAAGGATACCAGCACCAGGGCTTCGATGCCTTCTTCTTCTTTCTACCCATCTTAATTTACTAACACACAAAAAATAGTATATAATAAAAAATACAAATACGGTAACGTTTAATTACAATAATATCACAGATTCTATTTAGATTACATTTATTTTATTCAGAAATAATGCAAATTACGACCAAGCAAACTACAACCCAAATCAAAATGGCGGAAAATTTAATAGTGTTGCCACCTAATGACTAAACAAAGATAAATAAAAATGAAGTAGATTACCCAAAAAGCAAAACCAGGTAGATTAGTAAAAAAATTTTAAAATTGGGTTTAACTGCTAAATTATCGAAACTTATGATTATGCATAAGGAAAAGTAAGTTGATGAAAAAAAAAAATTGCTTCTATAGTCCATTCTAAGAAATATTGGTATGTTAGCTATTACGGTGAGTGATTTAAAATAAATAATTTTCCCTTTGTTTCTAGAAGTTTCAACTTTATACTATATTGGCTAGTAAGTTAATTTAAAAAGGACTAAAAAGTAGAACATGTGTCGGATCTTAACTCGAAACACAGAAAGTATAAAATTGGTAACACTCATATGTGCATTGTCAATGTGTCAAACCGCTATCAACTTCATTTAATAGTCTCTATAGACGATCATGTAAAAAAATTACCTTCTTAGATTGGTACGTTATATTATCAAGTCTATGATTCGTCTGCGTTATTAGTATAGGTGTACCAAGCTAAGTGGTGTTACGACAAAGATGGAACTACTGTATCTTATTTTGAACTTATGATTAACTATAATTATTATTTTACACATACACTTTTCACCTAATAGTATAAATACAATGAGTAATTCATTATACTCTGGTTTTACAAACCGCAATAGATGAGTATTTCCGCTTGATTGTACAAGTCTATGTTTCAATGATGTCACAATAATAATTAATTTTTATTTGCTTTTGTTTAGGGACTGACAGATCAGTGCTGTACCTACATAAATTTCTTGTTCTTAGCGTATACCAGCGCCAGTAACACCAAAAAGGAAAATATTATTCTACTCTATGCAACCCACAATATTGTGAAATAAACTTAATAGACAGTCACCTGCCTAAGGATAATCCACAATAACGTCAATGACGCAAAAATTTTATTTTTATTAGAATAGAAAAATATTACCAGAAATATTATAAGTACATACAATTTTATCATTTTTTATACTAGGCGAAAGGAGCTTGCCAATACTCGCTGACCATGCTTGCTGATACTCGTATTGTGAGTGTATAAATAGAAGGAATGATAAAAACTGAAAATCTTATGACTGCCTTCTTTCTTCTTATGCAAATATAATTAGTAAAAAGAGGATTAAAGATATAATATATGTGTATTTGTACGATTACATATAATGTAATTAATTTAATTTTGTCTGTTTAAAAATTGTCACAATTGTACACTGCTTTATCCGCACTTTGGGTTTGCTGGAAGAAAACTATTAGAGTTAAGCTCGCCTTTGTACTTTTGATTACCTCTGTCATATTTTTATAACTGGTGTGTACAATAAAGAATTAAATAAAATAAATAAACATCAGTTGCTATTGTTTTCAATTCATAGAAGGCTAGTGTATAGAAAATGTTTATATGGCCGTATAACCCTACCAAGTTCAGATACAAACCTTCTTGCATATTTTCTACATAAACTGTGTCGAATATATAATCCAGTAATGTAAAATTTGTCAGGCCAATGACTATAAAATTCAACATAAATGCATTGTATTTTATTCCTGTAATTATGTATATTGTAGAAGTATTCTAGCAGAGAGACAAGTCGCCTCACCTCTAGGGAATTATATCTTCCCATACCCAACAGAAAAGTGCTAGGATATATATGAGGATAACTTACATGATACCCATAGTGTTTACGCTACAGCACCTAACAAACTTCTTCTGTAATTTTTCTATCATCTATATATATTTGTTTTTATGTGGGTTTCAGATAGTAGCATTATTTTCCAGTTTACTCCATATGAATGCATTGTAAATAATTTTAATTGCTTTTATATTATGCAAATGTTCCACAACAGTTCCCATTGCATTCAAAGACATTTCTGAAGTATGTACTTGCCTCTTAAGTTGTTATATGAATGAAAATTATTTGAAAAGCTACAGATCCACTTTCAATTGATCCAAAATGCACCGTAAACTTTTTGCTCCTGAAATATATTTATTTAGGCGTTGACGTGAGCACTGAAACCAATCGCTTATACGTAGACACGAGTTTGAAACCTGGAATCCAAATCCTTCAAAAAATATTTCTGACTGAACTATGTACTCAATTAAAGACACGTTTACCACTGAGCAATATTTTCAAAGATGTACAATTAGCATGTGGTTTAAAAAATGTTGCGTCAATATTAAACGTTGTGAAGAATTTTCCCAACATATATATATTCTTTATTGCACTTGTAAGTTACATATAAAATAATCTATTTGTAAATATTGTGAGCAAGGGTGGACTTATCTCTGACAGAGATCTCTTCCAGTCAACCCAGTACAGTAAGAAAGCATTTCGTTAGCGGGCAGTTGAAGTGCTACAACTATTAATACATAGTAAACTAGAACAATATTCAATAAGTTTTTGACGAACTTTAACAAATTAATTTTGATAAAAGTGGAAGAGATTTGTTAGAATTAACAGGAAGTAGCACAACCAACACAATTTTGAGTGTAGACAGATTTTGGGGAGCGATTGGAAAAATCCAGAACGCGAATAGGGCTACAAAGTATCTCAATATTACAAATTTCGAGAAAGTTTTATTATGTTTGCCCATATCAAACGCTTTGTGCGAAAGAATATTCTTTCAGGTGAACCTAAGCAAAACAAAAATAAGAGAATAATAAAGAAATTTCATAAAATTCGTTGTATAATTTTTTTCCATTTCTTGTAGGCATATTTTTGGCATTTTTGACGGCAAGTGTGGCAGATTTTGGTAGAATTTTTGCCTAGTCTGTGGTAGATTCGCTATTAATGAGATCACACTGACGAGATAGCAATCAGTACTTTCTACACACTTTTTTAATTGACATATTTTTATGCACGAAAAATTATTAACTCACTCTTGCGCCACCTGCCCATTTCTATCTGTTCTCCTTTAACCAAAGGTTGTCTGTAAGCGATTGCCCTAGCGATAAGACCGCCTTTTGTACCTTTATGTGTATATTTCAATCTGTATTTATGTTACTATATTTCACTTGAATTATTCACTTGTCATTGTATATTTTTATTTATGTTGCAATAAAGAGTTTTTAAAAAAAAATTTAAAAAAAAATATTTTACATGGGCTAAAATAATTTGTCATTCCAAATATTATGAACAAATGAGATCAAAGTAAGAGTCGATGCAATCATCATGATCGACACTGGTAATTAAATCAATTTTAAAATGTAAAAGTTTTGTTTAATTCATAAAGTATGTTAGTAAAATAGGACAGTCACCCGTTTGGTTACGAGTAAAATGTGCAGAGTAATTTACAGTTGTTGGTCGTTATTTAAATCTAAAATGTAATAAAATTTCACACCAGAGTCACGGCACTAAATAGTCCTAGCGTGTTTGTGGTATACTTAGCGAGATCAGACGTTATCTTGTTTCTTTGACAGTTCTGCGGAATCCATCATGAACCGTACATGATTATGGGCATGACACTCATGAGACGGGGGCGTGCTGGATACGAATCCTCCGATTGGTTGTATTAAATTTTACATATCATAGTATGATCTTCAATAATATGTATATCTATATACCCCATGTTTGTGATGTACGTTGAGAAATCCCTTTTATCTTTTATCTCGCGATGATTTTCGCCTATATATTTCTTAGAGGTATTTTTACATTAAGCCTCATTTGAGTTTCTATTGATATTCTGTCTTAATTTAATTCACTAAATAATAATATTTTTCTATTAGTTAAATATTTTCGCTAGTACTGCAAATAAGTTAGATATCGTTGATATCCTGTTAAAAACAAGATTTCAACACAATTTATGTTTGATTTAGAATGAGCAGAAGTTGAAAATAAGAATAAGCCATGAGTAGAATCATTCAACTCTATTTTTACTATATTTGTCATCGACTTTTCGATAACATAATTGCCTACTTTTTATATAATTTAGAATGGCAAACATGCTGACGGCCTATCTGATGGAAGGTGGTAACCGTTGCCTATACACATGAGCAGTACCACGAACATAACAGAGTATACTACTGCAGGCATTGCTTTGATTCCTCGGTATCTTGGTGTCATCCAGATACGCTTTGGAGTGGATATGACCATTTAAAATACTAAAAAACACAACCGAGTATTTGAAGGTCGTTTACAAAATCTACATATAAAATCTAAGAATAGGATATTGCAATTAGGTCAGTATAAGGATGCAAGATAAAACATAGATTTGAAAGTACTTACTGAATAGGAAAAACCAAAATTATCTTAATCTACAAAACGCGGATGAGTGACGTCTTCTCTTTAGTACCGCAAACGTTCATTGGTTGTGGTAATCATAGATCTTGATTTTCATCGATATTGTATATAAAAAAAAAAGAATGGCATTTCTGAATCGGAGCCCATTGTCACGCTGTGACAGTATAGTACTTATGACACAAAGAGCTTACTATCTCACAGTGGCGAATCTCAAAACAAATTGGTTTACATTAGTAAGTAGTTCGCAATAATACATAGGAAAATAAACGTTGTTTAAAAAATGACGGTATGCTCACAACTCACAAGCTTATTGTGATAATTAGATATGATCTTCTATCCGACATTTTCTAAGAAATAAATTATTTGCATAATCTTTAAATTAATCAGAATAGCTGTTTTATTTTTTGTGTATTATAACGTATTTCTATCTACAGCCAGATATAAGCCTACTTCGAAACATTTAATTTTTTTGGATTAATTTACTTCCCTTTGTTTTTTGCTAAAAATGCATTTTGTAAACTTGATTGTGTTTGATAAGTGAGGATAATATTAAATCAATTGTCATATTATGAAAAATTTTACAGAAATTAATTACGATGGTATACAGAGGGGATTATATTGAGGTCGACCTGATAGAATATACCGCTAACAATGGTGATTAGTCCTCATTTCTAATACTCGTACTCCCCTTCCTCCTCCCCCAACCTTGCTTAAACAGCAGAATATTAATGTAAATATTGACATTTGAGAACGAAATG